ATAAAATGTACAGGGACATGCAAAACATATTTGGTTACAATATTTTCCCGCTAAATTCTTTGTGTTTTTACTTTCTATAGGCTACATTTTGCCCTCTAAATTTTCCAAAGACCCCATGAACAGAACTACTGAGAATTAAAAAACAGACATTGCAATTTTCATCGTCTTTTAAGTTTTGTATAATTATAGATAAGGATAAGAGGTAAAATTTGTATCCTTTTCACTCTTTTTTTTCATAGAAGAGAGGAATTGCAACAAGGCAAATAGTTTCGAAATCAAAGACTTTTCAAAAACTTTATCACAAGTTATGAGGTATGAAAGGTTAATGTATATTATTAGGATGAGATATTTTTTAATGATAGTGATCTTTTTTTTGAGTTTTACATGCAGTCAAGTATGGCTGCTTCTTCTAGCAAAAAAAGTGCTTTATTTTGCCAAAATGAAGAAATAATGAGGAACATCGTCCCAATTTCAATAAAAAATGTATTTTCCCCAATTCCTGTAGGAAAAAGCTGTTGAAAAATTTAGGTAGAAAAAAGACTGAACGATATTGAAAGAACTTTACCCCCCGCTTGAATGTTTCAGGATAATTTCTGATGGGGCACATAAGACATTATGAACCTGATATTTCATCAAATTCCCAAAGACATGATTTTAAAGAAGTGGACTTCTGACTCCTCATATACATAGGAACGTGTATATACTCTACAAAGTACTCTGATTCAAGTGAAAGATAACAATCCATGCTTGTCACTGAGAAACTGGTGATTTAAACAAAAAGGAGGGTACATTGTAATCATGACATTATAAAGACAATATGTTGACTCAAGTATTTTTTCTTGATAGCTTCACAATGATGCAAAGTGAGAAATTAATAAAAAGACATCAGTGTTGTGAAGCAATCTATAGTTCCCTTCTAATAATGGTTTCTTTATTCACCTAACTGTATGCCGATACATAGATTTACATTAAAAGCACTGTTTTGACTCAAACAACCAATATTTGTGATACTGACAAACTTTTTAATGATTCGGGTCATATTGGTCACAGTGACCTGGATAAATTGTTTCTGAAATTGGGTTGAAGGGGCAAAATAAAGGTCGCATCGACCTGCATTTGGTACATGCTTTCGATCAACAAAAGATGTTGCTGCATACAAAATTGACTACCTCCAGGTGGAGAAGTACAGGTGAGCTAGAAATACTGCATCAATGATTGGCGTCAAAGGTCAAAATATAGGTCACTTTGACCTACATTTGGCACATAAATCTCAGCCATCCAAAGATGTAGCTGCATATCAAACTTGTAACTCTAGGTGAATTAAGTATAGCCAAACCTGTACATAACGGTGCACTACAGCACAAGACCCAAACTAGAAATTCCGTAATCGTCAATATTGACAGAGGAAGTTTCATAGATGAATAACATTCAAACTATTTCCATGATTTGGATCAGAGGTCAAAATATGAATTACAGTGATCTGTTTTTTGTATGCAGCACCCACTGTAACATGTACATTTATACCTAGGTGAATACTATAGGAGAAATGCCCCATATAAACTCTTTAGAGGGAATACAGACAGAAGGAGTGTAAACCAGTATAATTAAATCTACATGGTGTAACTGTAGTACAATTGGGGACTAATTATATAATTGTACCCCTCCCGTACCTTTTTATATCTGAAAACCTACACGGAGTGTAAAATTCTGATGTCATGCATATATTCAAATCAAACAGGATGTTGATAACAAATAGAACAACAAATCAGTCATTTTTCAAATTTGAATTTTATTGAATTTACTAGACGACTCTGCATAATACATATACACTTTACGCATACATAACACTGACACTCAACCATCCCGTACGAAATTCCATGTTCATAACTATGACTTAAACATCAAACATGTTTATATACATCTAGACCACTCGAGGAAACAGGCCAACTTCATTTTAAGTCGGGCCTTTCACATAGTTTGTAAAATAGGTATATAAGTTCGTAAAAAGTAAAACAGATATACAAGTTCGTAAAACAGGTGTACAATAAGGTCTACCACAGAAATATTGGGAATATTTAGGACAATCGTTTGAGTGTCATACAAAATTCAAATAATCTGCGATGAAAACAGCTGTAATATATTTGTTCTGCATCCTAGGCGATTCCCTATGTCAGCCCATTCTGTAGGTCTGTCGTGTGATGCCTTATGATGTCCTACGGCTGTGTTACAAATAGACCTACAAATTTCGTACAATTTCCGTCTCTGAGCAGGTTTTACTGTTTTGTATCTTCCGTCTTTATTAATCTTTGTTTAATTTTAGAAAACAAGGTTAATGTGGTACTCCTACATTTTACAACCTTTAACAACACAAACCCTGGTGTCCCATTATACTTATGCCAAGTCTTTTTCAACACAAGGAAATATTATTGCACCTTTGGAAGAAAATGAGACTTCTGAAAACGGGTCACCATTGAGGAAGACCTCCAAGTCCACTTTAGTGTTACACATGTCAATGACGTTTGAGTAGGCAGCACCAAGGAAGACTTGGAGCAGACTGACCCCGGTGTGATAGTGGACAGGACATATACAGGATTCTTGATGAAGGATTAGAAGATTGTCCTAGTCCTTATATAAACTTACTCACACCTATACTACTATCCCTAAAGAATCATTGTAACCATTACTGACCAATATTTCACTTGTACTGGGCAAACATTCAACACCTTTAACAATGCATTAAATATTGAAATATTTATATGAAATGTTTCGCGGGATAGTCAGGTGGCGCAGTGGTAGCTCACTTGCCTTTCACGAAGAACTGCCCGAACACGTGGGTTCTTTTCTGCGTACTCCAGATTCCTCCCACATTAAGACCCCCCATGCGCTAACATCCTGGCCCACAATAGTAATTAATGTAAGTTCATATAACTTGTTTCATAGTTTTGTAAGATAAATAAAGTTTATATTTAACTGTTTTTAAAAAAATCTTAGAATATCAATTTGATAATGTATAGTTCCCATAATTAAGTGCATAAAGTAGACGGTTAATACACACTGAAGTAAGATCTCTACCTATGGAGGTCAAACTGATCATTACAGCAAAGGTCATTTGAATATCAAGGCCCCAACACTCCAATGACCTAAACTGCAATTCTCTATTTGGTCTCTCAAACATGACCAAGTTCTATAGACACTCTTTGTCAACAATTATTTAGAGAATGTTTGAGATAATACAATAGTAACCAAGCACCTTGTACATATCTCTACCGACATTATAAAATTGGGATTTCCGTAATACAATGTACTATTTGACACAAGATTGTGTGACCTTAGAATAATTTAGGTTGGGCACTCCTGCATACCTGTCACCCCTAACAGCTATACCTATACCTGTCTGCACTAAGATTCTGGAAAAACCAGCAGTTGTGGGGAATACCCAAAGTGATTCCGATCCCCATATTGTCCTACTTTGCTGAAATATTTTAAAATTCAAAGGCTAAATTTGGTTATGAGCACGTGCAGCCAAGCTTGCATTGTCCAGTTCAATATGTATTTGATTACCAGAGATTTAATCGGTGAGTGGTCAACAATGCGTGTGCTTTACTGGAGTTAAGACAGTCAGCAGTGTGTGGGAGACCAAATTAGGATCGTTGGACCTTGACCTTTGAAGGTAGAACAACTTTACGTCAATAGGACAAACAAACTCAGACAATGTTTTTTAGATCCATCAATTTTCAAGAACTATGCATGTGTAATTAAAAGACATGATTAAACATGCCTTGTTTGACATACTTTCATATTGCAAGAAAAGACTTTTTTTCTAAAGTTGTCTAGCAAATGGCTTTAAAATCATTCAACTATAAAGAAGATTAAATAAAATTGAATTTAAATGCAACAAATCAACAATGACAAGAACAATCTAAATATCCAGTGAAATAAGCTTTGATTCCCATTAACCTACAAAAACAAGGGCATTCCCTCCATGTCTTGGAAAGCATCCATTGTTTAACCAAAAAAAAAGAACGATAAAATCTTCAGACAGACACAGTAAAACAGCTAAAAAAACACATAGAAATCTGAATATACAAAATTTTGGCAGCGATTTCTTACCGGTATTTCAATTTTTATTTGTTTGATGTGTCGCGATAGGTTACATTGTACCCTTATCATGTGTTTTAGAGTTGTTTTGTACCCGTTACCTTGTTACTTAGTAACCCTGTGTCCGTTTGTTAATCCTGCTATTTGTTTGGCCGAGTTACCAATTATTGCTCTATAGGTGCGCGAGTCACTCTCCGCGCCCAATTTAATTTGTAATTACGTTGACCCGCAAAACCCATGTGTGTGCTTGGTTACCTATTGTCTGCCGATGTTCGTACATTAAAATTGGCCGAAATAAAATGCAAAAAAAATAATAGTAAACACCCAACAATTACCTACTTTCTTAAACTTAAGTAAACAACCAATGAATCCATTTATATCTATATTGTATTGTGTAATAACTAAATATTGGCTTATTTTGTTTCTAGAATATTTGATTTATATGTGCAACATGAAATTTTAAAGGTATTCCACTTTAAATCCTCAGGAAAATAACAAGTATGGACAACAAGTATGTACTACAAATGTGATTTACAGCTAGACAGTTTATGAAAATTAGGATTTAAAAAAAAAATCAGTCATGTCAAATCTATATGAAATAAGCCGGATACGAACAAGTTTAGATGATTCCATTTGTAAATAAATGTTATATCCCTTTACTTATGAGTATTCTTGCATTATTAGCGTAGGAAAAATTAAGTATTTTAAGATGAAAAATGTCTATTTGGTATGTGTTCATGTGTAGTTTGTGGTATTTTTTTTCTTTTCTAAAACACTCTTTCAAAACTTAATTTCATTATAATCATTATATATACATAATAAATAACATTGGATGTTTTACATACTTAACAAAATATATTTTATACACAGAGGAAAATGTAGCTTGAAAATAAAAACTTAATTAAACAATTTAACAGAAGTAAAGTTCAAACTTATCAAAAAAGAAAATGTTTAAACATTTTGAAAATAAACTTGACAAAAATTTGTTATCTTTCCTACTGGCAATGAAATTTCATTTATTTACTTATCTTCTGTGCAATTCTACCTTTACCCTAATCTTTAACTCGTTGTCCACTATGTATGTTTAGTTCTGTTGTGATGGAAATTTGTAGCATGCACAAAGATGAAAATATTTTGTGAAGAAAATTTAAGTGTTTCCTAATTATATAATACACTACATAAAATTTCATTTGGAATGGTCAAAAAATAAAGTTAAGAAAATTTAATTGAAAAATATAGAAGTATATATGAAATATATTGTAGAAATGAATTTTGTCCGCAAACTCCCATTTAGTTTCTGTAGATTACTGTAAAATTTACTTTGCAATTTTATTTCAACTTAATTACTGTAATTATCATCAAAACTGAACAATAACAAAAAGACTGAGTAATCCAGTTGATTAATAGAAATATAATAACACTTCAGCATTTCCTTTTTCTTTTCTTCTTTCTTTGTGATTTATGACTTATTTGCCAGATTTAACACACACACTCGGTAGACATTTTCTAGAGAAGGTTGATCTCATGAAAGATATTCTCAATACCAAAAAAAATATCCATAAATTATTCATTAGATTTTTCTGCTGTTGCCGTTATTTTGCTACCTACTCGGTGGTTTTTCAACCTTAATTTTACAACAGCCTACATGAATTGGGAAAATATATCATTGCTGAATTGAAATTGAGAAGATATTCATGATTTCTTTCTTCATTTTGGGAAAATGAAGCACTTTTTATCCGGGGGATTCAGCCTGTATTTAGCTGTAAAACTAAGAAAATCCAAAAAATCAGTGCTATTGGTAATGAAATTTTCCTGATGTTCCCCACTTTTGAATGGATTTGGTAATATATTTGATTTAATATACAGCCCCTAATTTGAATATATTGTGTTTGATACAATTTTCCACGGGTTCAATTATCTTCACATATACCACAACATCATCCTTAATTATAGTTTTCAAAAATGTTTGTTTTGTATGTTCTGAATACCGAGAAACTATACAAAATAAAATGTTGTCAATATGTTCAAACATTGATTATTTATAATATCAAGCACATTTTCAACATTCAGAACATCACTGAAAAAAAATTGAGTATCTAATTGTAGTCAATAAATATAGGAATGTAATTATACAGTAATGAAACTGATGATAAAGTTAAAAGTCAGTTTATAATAACACAATTTTTATAGTTTTTTTATGGGACTAAATGACAGAGATGAACACGATCCAGTGGAAAGTCACCAGACAGTCGATATCACAGATAAAGTTTGTTGAAGGCAGTTTGTCCTGTAATTAGAAAAGAAAAAAATCTGAAAATACAAATCTGAGGGTTAAATACATAATTAAATATACAAATTCTATTTTTAAATATGAACCTAAATACAGTATGTTTAAAATATAAATTTAATAGTTGTACTTCATTTCTTTCCTTCTCTAAATGGCAATATTTGTGTGATAACATTTATGGTGTAAAAGATAATTTAAGTAAGAAGTAAATTACAAAAACCAACAAACCAAATGTATGTAGGCGGATCTTTTATTACTATATAATATAGTAAACAACCCAAAAGTCATTCATGCTGATCTCTTAACATCTCAGATATTGAGGTACAGAACAGGTAATTTGTATACAATATCTATCTTTAAAAGCATGCATCAGCATTCTGCAAGAAGTGTTCATGATTTGCCCCTATTTTTTCACCATATTAAATGTATCTCAGTCTTTTTAGTTGAATTTTTCCAGCAGCCCCATGTATCTGAAAATATTTTCCTTTTTTTTCTACAAGATACGGCAGGTTATAATCAGAATTAAAATTCCTCCACCATAATTTTGTAAGAACAAAATGGCACTTCAAAATAGATTCTACCAGAATAACTGTCTATGCCTTGAACATTAGCTGACACAAATGTGTGAAAATATTTTTTTTATAATAAATTAGAAATGCATTTTTTAATATGTAAAATATTATTTGAATTGCACTCTAATTAGACCCAGGAAAATCCAATAAAATAAAGGGTTAAAATGCATGAAATATAGAATAGATCTATGCAAATGAGGAAAATTTCATGCACAATGCTGTACTTTAGAAAATGTTAACATAATTTAACTCAATCACCACTGAAATTTCATAGTGAACTATTCCAACCTTTGAATTGGAAAAGTTCAAATGAGTCTTCAGGGGTGAATGAGTTAATGTACCTGGACTGTTAGAATTTGATGTATTCCCAGTCAGGAGATTTTAACTTCCATAGGATATTGAAACTGGCCTAGAACATAGCATACAATTTGCTAAAATTAAGGTCCAACTTTTGCTTATTTTCGCGTGTTGTGTACTAATATTTGCTGTCATGATAAATTCAACCTCATTGGGGAGGGCAAAAAAGGCAATAGTTAAACTGCAGCAAAAATGTCCCAGTATACAGCACATACATGTAGTAATACAAGAATTTCACAGAAGTGGATGTGTCGCGCCTGCTCAGCGCTTTTAGAGCGAAAAAGGTTTTTGACTTGAGTTATTGCGTAAACAAGCAAAAATTAACGGCAAAACGATATGAACAGCGTTGTTTTGTCAAGTGTGATATGCCAAAACGCGGAAAGTTGAAACTCGACAGAAAAACCTGTAATATATGTTAAACATTATTATTTCTAGCATTACCATACAAAATTTGAAAGGAATTGATTAAAGAATAAAAAGTTCTTGCATTTACTACGCAATGCCCCTTATTCGGCTATAAAAGGGGCATTACTCCACCAAAAATGCATGTAAACTTTTGAAATGCGAACTTGTCTGAACTATATTGGTATGCAATATGTGTACCAAGTTTGAGTTCAATCGACTGAAGGGGACTCAAGTTATCACACGAAAACCTTGTTTCGGACGACGCAATCGACGACAAAGTAATACCTATATGTCGCCTCGCATTGCAGGCGACACAATAAAGGAACACCATGTTCTGTAAGACATTAATGCCTTTCTGCTCCTAAAGTTGGTGATATGATGACTATGAATCTGTTGACAAAATAGCAATAGTAAGCCTATAACAAGAGATCCCAGAGGGATCTTGGCACCCACCATTGTACCATCTTCATTAGTTCTTTGTCATTTTGATCTTTTCTCTTCTTTTCTCTAATCTGTTTGATCTGGTCATGTTAACAGTAAATGCACCCTGGGGTAACTTTTGATCTAAACTTAATACTGATGTGTATGAAAGCCAACCTTCAAAGCAAGTTTGTCATTTCACATATTTACTAGTACAGTACTTAATGTGAAAGAAATAGAATCGATCATTGCAATAAGAGAAATATCTGTTTAGTTCTTCCTTTAGCCATTTTGTTTGTTCTTCCTTTAGCCATTTTGTTTTTATGATCAGTCTCAAAATATAACATGCACAACGAGGGATCAAGGGAAACCTACATATCAAATTTTGTTTTAATGATCAGTTTCAAAAGTAAACATGAACAATAAAGGATAGTGGGGGACCTGCATTGGCTGGCCCTAGAAACATTTTTGGGTGAGTAAAAAATTTGAAGCACTGGCCTAAATGACATATTGGTGGCCCAAATAATTTTGGGAAAAAAATATTTCCACAGCATTTAACACAATGCTTCAGCACATTTAAATTACATATAACATGACAATGTTTGTAATATGTAAACCAGAATAAAACATTATATTTTTAATTCTTCAACCCTAGTTAAAACCTGACATGATCCACTCCATTCAGGTATTTATATTAGTAGGCCTATTTCCAAAAGAAATACACAAAACTCGCACATCAAAGAAAATACCCTGACCGTATTTATATAGAAAATCTGGAAAAAAATCATCACATTTTCTAAATCACGGAGTGTTCGATTCAAATCGAAGTAATGACAACTGAAAAATGTTCTGCCCTCCAGTTAATGTGGAAGGGACTATAATTTCTTTCATTCATAAAATTTTCGACAGTCGCCCAAACTATTTTTGTTGGGCCAGTGACTACCTCACTTTTGACAACTTTTGGTCGCCCGAGCAAGACTTTAATCCCCATTGGCGAGCTGGCGACCGTCCATTTCAGGTACTGCTGCACAACAAGGAAACAAGGGGAACCTACATATAAAATTTGAGAAAGATCCCTCCCGTACTTCCTGAAAAATAGCCATAACAAACTTTCACTGTCAAAATCCAACATGACTGCCTGTCGGCCATGTTATTTATCTGATCAGTCTCAAAAGTTGCCCTGCACAACAACGGGCCAAGGGAAACCTACATATAAAATTTGAGAAAGATCCCTCTGTTACTTCCCGAGAAATAGTGATAACAAACTTTCACTATCAAAATCCAAAATGGCTGCCTGTCGGCCATGTTGTTTATCCGATCAGTCTCAAAAATTATCCTGCACAGCTAAGGACCAAGTGGAACCTACATATATAATTTGAGAAAGATCCCTCTGGTACTTCTTGAGAAATATCGATAACAAACTTTCACTATCAAAAACCAAGACGGCTGCCTGTCGGCCATGTTGTTCATCCGATCAGTCTCAAAAGTTGCCCTGCACAGCTAAGGACCAAGGGGAACCTGCATATAAAATTTGAGAAAGATCCCTCTGGTACATCCCTAGAATTGTTTACGGACGGACGATGGACAACGGACGGATGGACCACGGACCAGGGACCACGTACACAGGGTGATTTGAATAGCCCACCATCAGATGTAGTGGGCTAAATAGCAACAGTGACCTCACTGTTCACCTTAAACATAGAAACAGCATATTGTTACCTTCAGTCACATGTCTGAACACTATGTTGTTACAGTCAGTAACATAAAGGAACACCAGGGCCCAGTTGTTCAAAAGGTGGTCAATTAGCTTAATCACTGTTTAACAACATTTTTCAACCTTTAATAATTTCATCAATATACAAAGTAAAATCTCACAATTTTGCTTGTAAATTCACTCTACTAAATATTTGATAGCCGGAAAGTTGTAGCTAATTCAATGGACTAATTGTTGTGTTTTAAAGTTACTCAAAAATTAAAATTTGCGCTAATCACTGATTAAGCTACAGGTAATCACCTTTTGAAAAACAGGGCCCAGGTTTTCAAACAATGTGTGTCAGTAATCAGATGTTACCGATCCCTCAATGCGTTTAACCTTTCTAAATCTGAATATCAGGGTCAGATGGCAAAGTTCAAACAGCCAATAGAAACAGGGCTGTGTATGAGTACTCTTGTACTGTATGTTTGTAATCAACAGTTTATCATAATTACAAAAGTCAAAGATGAATGTCCATGAAACAATAAATCGATGTAACACCCCCACTGCTACTGATAACACTGACACTGTGTTACGATTCACGTTATAACATGGACAATCATTGATAACAAGGCAAAGTATAGCTAGTAAGCCAAAGTCCCGACATCACAATTATCAATGGGCAATAACTCTGTATATAGCAGGCCATGACATTGTATTTCAGTATGTTTACCACTGTATGATGTTGCTACTATGAAACCCTACCAAAGTAATAAGGCATTCATATAGACTGTAAATGCCATGGCCCATATATGTTAATGTCATCAATATTATGACTTCACTATTGTAACATTTGATAATATAAACTTAAGTTATTTTACAACAATTGTAAATCAAATTTTCTAACTTATGTTCATCACTCTTGTTGGCCCGTGTGGAAACATGGAGATGGTCTTAATGTAGGAGGAATCTGGAGAACCTTGAGAAAACCCATGTGGACAGACAGGTAAACCGATAACTTTTCACATCCGATCAAGGAATCGAACCCCGGCCGCTTTGGTGAAAGGCAAGTGTGTTATCCACTGTACCACCCTATCACCCACGTTGGATACCACTGACCATTTATATAGAAGATGGCTGTTCTATTCATTAAAGAAAAATTCAGGATACATGCATGCACTAAATCATAATCAATCTAATTAAAATTAAATCGTAAGTGTAATGAGAAACGTAGTGTAATGAGAGATCTGATTTTAATTAGATTGAATCATAATGTACTATCATGCATTATGATGTTTGCCTGCAAAGCTGTGTCATTCATAAGACTGTAAATCCCATATCAACATAGCGCAATGCTTAAGGTGCCTCCACACATCGTCATCAGCATCCATTTTCGTGCCGTACTTCCGGAAAAAGCACAGCTCGGACTAAATTATCTTGATCGAAATGTGCATGTACACCGTGTCGTCATTTCCATATTGCGTATCGGGCATTCAATATCGTAGTTCAAATTATAATAACACTTGGGCCGTTTGCGTTTAAACGTTCAAACC